ATAAAGAAACCAAAAGCATCCATGGTTCTTTTTAAAAAAAATTTAAATTCACTTAATTAACATAAACTGTATTATTGGTTTCAGAGATAGAGGTCAGTGATTTATCAGGCTAGTATAATACGCAGCGCTCATTACATCACATGCCCTCCTTAATGGCCATCACCCAGTTGCCCCATCCCCCCACTTCCTTCCCCTCAAGCAAGCCTCAGTTTGTTTCCGGTGATTAAGAGTCTCTTATAGTTTGTCTCCCTCTTTGATTTTATCTTGTGTTATTTTTTCCTCTCTTCCCTTATGATTCTCTGTTTTGTTTCTTAAATTCCACTAGAGTGAGATCATGTGATAAATTGTCTTATCTCTGATTGACTTATTTCGCTTAGTATAATACTCTCTCATTCTATCCACATCACTGCAAATAGCAAGATTCCCCTTTTTGATGGCTGCGTAATATTCCATCTCCCTCCCTCCCTCTCTCTCTCTCTCTCTCTCTCACACTCACACACACACACACACACACACACACACTCACTCCATATCTATTTATCCATTCATCTGTTGATGGACATCTAGGCTCTTTCCATAGTTTGGTTATTGGACATTGCTGCTTTAAACACTGGGGTGCACGTACCCCATCAGATCACTGCATTTGTATCTTTGGGGTAAATACCCAGTATTGCAATTGCTGGGTTGTAGGATAGGTCTATTTTCAACTTCTTGAGGAACTTCTGTGCTATTTTCCAGAGTGACTGCTCCAGCCTGCATTCCCACCAACAGTGTAGTTGGTTTCCCCTTTCTCTGCATCCTCATCAACATCTGTCATTTCCTGACTGGTTGATTTTAGCCATTCTAACTGGTATGAGGTGGTATCTCACTGTGGTTTTGATTGCATTTCCCTGATGCTGAGTGAAGTTGAGCATCTTTTCCTGTGTCTGTTGGCCATTTGGATATCTTTGGAGAAATGTCTATTCATGTCTTCTGCCCATTTCTTGATTGGATTATTCTTTGGGTGTTGAGTTTGATAAATTCTTCATAGATTTTGGATACTAGCCCTTTATCTGATATGTCATTTGCAAATACTTCCTCCTATTCTGTCAATTGTCTTTTGGTTTTGTTGACTTACTTTGCTGGCACCCATGGATTCTAATATTAGTTACTTCCTCAAGAATCTACAGTGGTTCTCTGTGTTTTCGGCTATGTTACTTTAAGTTTCATCAGTTTTATTTTAAAGCTCTTTAATTTTGCCACATTGTATCTGTTTAACCGTTTCTTCTGATTCTTCCACACCTAGGAATAGTTCTTCCAGTATTAATTCTTCTAAACCTAGAACTAGTTTTAGTTCCATTGCCTACCATTATTTTCTGGTAAAAATAACTGGGAGATTTTACATAATGTACATTGAACACATAAAAGTTTTTTCTGTGAATAAGTGAAATGTTGTAGAGTCTTAATACAATTGAGCCTCTTAAACATGAATAATTGAGTTACTCTCATTATCTTATCCATTAGGAATTACAGTAAAATTGGCAGAATCTGTTTTACCTAGTGGTTTATTACAGGGTACTGATAGTTAACTGAATCTTGGGGCGGGCCAGGACATGAAACACTTTTTTGTTATATACCTTAGAACCATACAGTCAGGAGAAATGCCCAAGCATGCCATACCTTGTATCTCATCCATGGTCTCTATGAAGATGCGGACCAGTCACGAGAACTTCAGTTAGAGCCACCACAGAAGAGTCAGATGCCTTCACCATGTTGCTTGCAAGGCCACTGCCTCAGATAGCTTACTTCTTCCTTCCAAATGCTGCATATTTAAGTATGCTCGGCAGTGGCTTTGCCATATGTTGAACCGTAGGTGGAGTGGACTCAGGGAAATGTTATGTAGTTTTCCATCCTCTACAGTGTTTGAAGGTGTGCTTGAAATGGGTGTTGAGTTATCTACTGCATTTTTAATAAAGGAAATGAAAATAAAAATGACACCAGTCTCCTTTTTCAACTACAGATCTTCCTTGATTTACAACCGGGTTACATCCTGATAAACCCATCAAAAGTTGAAAATATTGTAAATTGAAAATGCACTTAATACACTTAATCTACTGAGCAGTGTAGCTTAGCCTAGTCTACCTGAAATGTGATCAGAACACTTCCATTAGACTACAGTTGTGCAAAATCATAACACAAAGCCTACTTTATAATAAAGTGCTGAATATCTGCTGTAGTTTATTGAATCCTATACTGAAAGTGAAAGACAGAATGGCTGTCTGGTACAGAATGGTTGGAAGTATATTGGTTGTTTACTTTCGTGATCCCATGGCTGACCAGGACCTGTGGTTCACTGCCTATGCCCAGTATCATGAGGGAGTATCCACGACATTTCTCTAGCCTGGGAAAAGATAAAAATTTATAGTTGGTTTCTACTGAATGCATATCACTTTCACACCATTGTAAAGCCGAAAAATTGTGAGGTGTCCATCATTTGGTTGGGCCATTGTAAATTGGGGACTGTATGAGATAGGCGGCAATTAAAATTGCTAACTTTTGTGTTAACAAGAACACAGGGAAATGGCTACTCATATTTCCAGGTAAGAATATAAATTAGTAAAACGCATGGAAGGCAAATTGGCACTGACTGTTGAAATTACAAATGAATACACCAATTGATACTTCATTTCCCATTTTGGAATTTATCTTATATAGTCACATAGTTTGGAGACACATATCTGTCACATAGGGGACTGACTAAATAAATTCCAGTATATCCATACAAAGAGAAATTCTGCAGCCACTAAAGAAAAGGTTGTTACTTTAGTGGACAGATTTGGAAAGATCTCCACGGTACCATGAAGTGAAAGAAGCAAGTTCAGAATAGAGCACGTACTATACCATGTTTGAGAAAGACAAAGACAAAAACTGTGTGTGTGTGTGTGTGTGTGTGTGTGTGTAAACTGTAACAGGATTTCCACTTCTGGGAGGGTCAGAAAATGAGGATTTGATGTGACAAGGCTAGGAGCCATGCACATTGTGGAACTGATTTAGCACAAAATATTTACTTAGATATTTAAGAACCTGAAGCTGTTTGTATTGTCGAAGGAACTGTGTGGTTGAGAAATAGGACTGGAAAAGAGACTTATTTTCTTGCTTTGATACATTTTGGATTTTGCATGCCAAAAAATAATGTGTTTTAAATTAGCTGTTGCTATTGCCTCCAAAATATGTTTCTGAAAATAGGTTATGTAGGGCAGTGATTTATTTAACATTGAAGAATTTGTATCTTTGTGAAGAAATTAAGACAAGTACACTATATAAGGAAATTGTTCTCGGTGATATTAATATTAGGGTTTGGGGGTGTTGTGTATTATAACTGGTTACTATATATGTTATCTGTTACTAACAGTGCAAAGAAGGTGAAAATCAGAAACTATATTTGGGAAATTTACTCCTAGAAGTGAAATGAGAATGCTTTCTACTTAGAAAATGTTTATGTTTGTAAGTCATTTTACCATTTTGACTATCAGTTTTTATATGTAGAAAATATGTAATATAAAAATATGTGATTAATAAATCCATAGTATTAATATTAGGTAAGACCTTAGTCCTTTCATCTTCATGGTAAACATAAGCAGTACTGCTGTTCACTATATAATGTAACTTGACTTTTGTAACATATAAATGTTAATATAAAGAGAACAGTTTATATTTGCTTTTCTGAATTAATGAAATGAATATGAGAAAATTATTAAAACTTTAACCTTAAATTGTTACATTTTTCATTGAGACTTTTGTGCCAAAATAGGTATTCAAGGAAATGGTAAATTGTTGATGTATGAGAATATCTAATTAAAAGTTGTGCAAAGAGGTTTTGCTTCATTTAAGGAACCTTGCAAAACATCTTAATGTCATATTTCTTTGTCAGCTTGCACATATTTCTAATACCTTCAACCCCCAGTAATGTTGGGGTGCTTTGTTCAGTGTAACTTCAGTGTAGAACTTTGATCCATTCCAGACCATCAACTACTTACTTATTTGAAGGATCTCATATATTATCAAAAACATTTGACTGCAGTGAAGTGATGGGAGCTTAAGTATCTGATCAGTTTGGAATCAACTGGAGAACAGATAGGCTTGAAGCATATAGGAGAACATACTCCTTTTCCTAATTGGATATTATGACCCAGTCTCAGTTTGGAGCCTCTATGTCGAAGGTCTCCAAAGTGATCTCTCTGGGCATTCCAAGAATATTAGAAATTTTACTATGTATATTTTGGTGGTAGTACATGATTTTAAAAGTTTGGAAATCACTGATATTAAGGAAATTTATTGTTTTGGTACCCAGAATAACAGTAATTAGGACTGAGGGGTGAAGCATTTATTACTCTCCAAGTAAATTTGGAATGCGAACTGAAACCTTTTCTTTTTTTTTTTTTTTAAGATTTTATTTATTTATGTAACAGAGATGGAGATCACAAGTAGGCAGAGAGGCAGACAGAGAGGAGGAAGCAGGCTCCCTGCTGAGCGGAGAGCCCGATGCGGGGCTCGATCCCAGACCCCTGGGATCATGACCTGAGCTGAAGGCAGAGGCTTTAACCCACTGAGCCACCCAGGCTCAAGAACATTTATCCACATTGGTTGCATCTTTTTGTTTTAATATTTCTACTAAGCTTAAATACCTTTGTATGGATATTTTATAACCTGATATTTTCTCTAAGACTTTTGCCATCTGAAAATACAGGTAATGTTAACACCAAAACCATATCCTTCCCTTTCAGTAATTATAATTTCAGGATATTATACACTGGTAGTTTTCCTCAGTATCTAGTTTACAAACATCTTCTCTGATTGCTGTATGCTCCATGGTATGAAAGAGATGCCATTATTCCCCCTTGGACTTCTTCCCTATTAGTGTGCAACCTGTGAGAGATCAGCAGATGATAATGGCTATAATTTATGAATGGGTGGCTCTAATTTTTTTTTTTATAAAAAATGTTTTTATGTTTTCATCTCAGATATTCAAGATTAAAGCAGTTCAACTGGCTGAGAAACTCCTTCCTGCCTTCAACACGCCTACTGGGATTCCTTGGGCAATGGTGAATCTGAAAAGGTAAATTTTTTATTCCTGTTCTTAAAGAATTAGATTAACTTAATGTTAGAAATTTCTAACAATCTTCTGCCACCATACTTTCTAAGACTTAAGTTGTTTTTCTCTTTCTGTATATGCAGAAATATATTTCTTTAAAGCCTTCTTTTTTCTTTTTTTTCGAGTGCTTTACTTTTTCACAGTTCACTTGCCATAACTCTATTCCAGTTTCTCCAAGGCTATTTCTTTTCCTCACCTGTTTGTTTAATTTGCTTATTCATTTCCATTTTGTGCTATAATGGATTCAGAGTGCTTTCCCTCTCTAATTTTTTGTACACTATCTGTTGATCTTCTAAGTCAAAATGGAACATAAATATGCATTAAAATCAGGGCTTCCTATTGCTGAACGATAAAGACCTAATTCATGATGTTGACTATAGGGTCCCTATTATGGTATTTGTACTATTGATGTTCAAAGTGAACTCAGCATTCTTTGCACTTTGTTTCATTCTGATAGAAAACAGTTTTCACTTAGATGAAAAAAATTTTAGGTTAACTTTATGAATCATGCAAAGGTATACAATTAATATTTAAAAAATTGAATAATGTCAACATATTTAACTTGCATTGAAATAATTTATGCTGACAGAAATTTTTGCCACTTTGGTTTCTCTCCAAATGAAATTTATTATTGCTCTTAATGTTAGAGCTTGGGAATTACATGAAAATTTGACTCTTGTTCTCCTTACCCACAGGCCCTTTAGAATGAAAGTTAGGAGAATTTATTTTTTTGGAGCTGTGATTCTGTGACAGCCTTATCTGAAAAACTAATCTATTTTAGTTACTTCTTTGTAATGGAGAGTTATAGAGTTTAGATTTCCACTGAGAAATTAGTATTTAATACTGAACATTAAATTTAACTTTACTCTTCTCCAGTTTCATGCACTATATGTAATATAAATTACCTCCTTGTGAGGGGAATAAGTTGGCTGGAGTTCCAGAGCAACCTGCACAAAAGGAAATGGCCAAATGATGTAAATGTACCTGTTCTCATTCTTAGTTTTATGACAGATTTTCTGATGTTTCCTTCAGTACCATTGCCAGACTCCTGTAACTTTCTTACATAAGAAATTTAACTTAGGGGCATCTGGGTGGCTCAGTGGGTTAAAGCCTCTGCCTTCGGCTCAGGTCATGATCCCAGGGTCCTGGGATCTAGCCCCGTATCAGGCTCTCTGCCCAGCAGGGAGCCTGCTTCCCTTTCTCTCTCTCTGCCTGCCTCTCTGCCTACTTGCGATCTCTTTCAAATAAATAAATAAAATCTTAAAGAAAAATTTAATTTAAAATTTAATTCTGAGATGAAGAAAGGATGCAGGACTTCTTCTTTTTGTCTCTGTGGAAGAAAAAAATCTAGCTTACATCACAAAACTTCAAACCCAGATTGAGATGAAAGTAGAAAGGTATTCAACAGTCTTGTCTTGAACATTTCTATAAATTTAATTTTCATTTAGCTTCTTCATATGTATTCATACAAATACATATCTAGTTTCTAGATCATAAATGTAATTATTTACCTATTTTTTCAGAGTTTTTTTTTCTTTCTCTTTTGTTGAGGTCTGCCGATGTCTTACACATAGACTTTCCTCCTCTCTTGCTGCCTGAAAGCCAACCCATGTTAACAACCAGGCATATTTATCTTCTATAATATGATACAGCATACAGAAACACAAGCATGTTCTGGTGCAGCTTTTAAAATTCTGAATGGGTTTTTTGGATGCTTGTTTTTATGCCTCTTATTTTTCTTAAGTTATTTCTCATTAGTATTTCTTGGAAGTACTCTTCCATATCATCTGATACAGATCTGAATCAGTCTTTGCAATGACTACATAGTGAAACATACTGTAATACATTGGTTATAATGCTATATGTAGTTTATACTGTAATTTATTCCATCATTTCCATATCAATGATGTTTGTTATTTTGCTACCATAAACATTGTTACAATAGTATCCTATTAAATATGTCCTTGTATAATGGGGATTTTTCTCTGAAAATGATTCTCAAGAATATGATTGCTGGATCAGAGACTGTGTGTGTCTTTTTATTCTCAAGTGTGGGATTGCTGGATCAAAGGGTATATGCATTTTATGTTTAATAGTATTCCCAAAATGTTGTCCAAAAACACTTTATTTCATCATATTTCTACCTATAATGTGTAAGATACCTAAATGTCTGTAGGTGTTTTAAGTTCTTTTTAATTTTTGATAGATTGATAACTCTGAAGTGTTACTCATTATTATCTTCACTTGTATTTTCTGGTTAGCGAATTTGAACATCCTTTTCATAAATATATTGGACATTTAAATGTACTTTTTTGCTTTATTTATAATTTTTTATTCATACGTTTTAAATTTTTATATATTCAAATCTTTTATAACTTTTGGGTTTATAATTTTTGTTAAAAAGATTGTCTCCATCTGTTTTTTATAAGTCTTCTGGATTTCCGTTAAAGGTTTTTATAATATGCTTTTTACAGAAAATTTCATCAAGTATGGTGTTAGCTGTAGATGTTTCATCAGTTGCCTTTGCCAGGTTCAAGATGTTCGGCTCTCTCCCTATTTCACTTAAGTTTTTGTCATGAATGGATGTTGAATGTTGCCACATACTCCTTTTCTTCATCTGTAGAGATGATAACATTTTTCACCTTTGTTCTGTTAATGTGGCAAATTACTTGTTAGATTTTCAAATATTAAATCAACTTTGAATTCCTGGGATAATACTTGGCCATAATGTATTATGTTCTTTATATTTAGCCGTATTTGGTATTAGAGTTACCTGCCTTCATAAAATGAAGTGGAAAATAATCTTCTTTATTTTCTGAAAGCATTTGTGTTGTATTAGTGTTACTTCTTAAATGTTTGATAGATTTACCTAAGCAACTACCTGGGCTGAAAATTTGCTTTGTGGGAAGGTTTTTAATAGCAAATTCAACTTTCATATATATACATATAATATATATGTATATATGGGTATTCAAATTTTATTTACATTTTGTATCAAGTTTAGTTGATAGTATTCTTAAGGAATTTCTCCATTTCATGGAAGTTATAAAACTTCTCGATGTGCAATTATACATATTACTTTCTTATGCCTCTCATTTTCTAGGCTTTGTAGTGATAATCCCTCTTTCATTCCTGATACTGGTAATTTGTTTTCTCTTTTTATCAATCTAGGTAGGCATTTATTGATTTTGTTAATCTTTTCAAAGAACTAACGTTTGTCTTTAGCCGCATTTAGTAACATTAACTCTGTTAGTTTTCTGTTTCATTATTTTTACTTTTTCCTTCCTTTTCCTTACTTAGAGTTATTTAGCTCTTTTTAAAAAGCTTTTTACATTGGAACTCTTTGATTTTTATATTTTTCTTTTTTTCTAGTAAGCTTTTTTTTCCTATAAGAATTTTACTTATTTAAAAAAAAAAGAATTTTACTTATTTGTTTATCTGTTGTTTTCTTTTCCTATAAGAATTTTAAAACTGTAAATTTCCCTCTAATGACCCAGGTATTTTAATTTTTTTTTTCATTATTACTCAGTTAAAAAACTTTATAAATTTCCTTAGGCTATCTTCTATGAAAATCACTTATTTTTAATTGTGTTGTTTAGTTTGCCAAATTTTAGAAACAGGAAGATAGCTTAGCTATCTTTTTTTTTTAAAGATTTTATTTATTTGAGAGAGAGTATGTATGCATGTGTATAAGGGCAGGGGCAGAAGGAATGTGGAGAAGCATACTCCCTGCTGAGCGGGGAGCCCAACATGGGGCTCATTCCCAGGACCCTGAGATCCTGACCTGAGCTAAAGGCAGGTGCTTAACCAACTGAGCCACCCAGACGTTCCTTAGATATCTTATTGTTTTGATTTCTAATTTAATTTGTGATCATAAAGGATACTCTGTATAATTTAAATCAATTTAGACCTCTTGTGCTTGTTTATGGCTCAGCTTGTGGTCTTTTTTGGCAAATACACTTGAATCTGTATTTTGCAGTTGGTGGGGTAATGTTTTATAAATATTAGGTTAAGCTAGTTGATGATGGTGTTTAGCTATCTGTCTTTCCTGATTTTTAATTACTTTAACTTAATGAAGTTAATGATGTACTTTTTTATGAGTTGCTGAGATGAAGTATTAAACTATTTCCAATTGTGATTGTGGAGTTGTCTACTTTACTCTTTATTTCTGTCAGGTTTTTGCTTCCTATATTTTGAGGCTTTACCTTTTGGTACTTACATGTTTATGATACATCTTTCTGATGACTTTACCCTTTTATCATTATGATGTGCCCCTCTTCATCTCTGGTAATATTTTTACTTGGGAGTTTGTTTGATCAGATGCTAATATAGCTACTCCCCCATTCTTATGGTTACTACTTTTTTGGTGTATCCTTTTAATTTTCAACCTAACTGTATCATAGTTTTAGTCCTTTTGGAGACAGCATGAATTGGATTTTGCCAGTATGAAAATACTAGACCATTAACATGTAGTTATTGATGCAATCTGATTTAAATTCTCTGTTTTCCCTTCCTTCGTTTCTTCTGTCCTAATTTTTGAATTGGTAAATGTTTTAGAATTCTCTTTTGGTTTATTTTTTAGTGTTCTTATTTAATACATTTTTGGAGTGGTTGCTATAGAAATCACACCGTACTTAATTAATTTTCCATTTAACAGTTAATATTGTACTACTTATGTGCAGTAATATTTCAGCTATATTTGTCCATTTTTATCCTCTCTCCCATCCTTTCTATGCCATAGTTGTGAAGTGAATTGCATTTAATACACTCTAAATCTCAAAATACATTGTTAAAATATTAGTTTAAATAGATCTATTTACTTTATAGAATGGAGGGGATTAACCAGTGCTCTTCATTTCTCTTTGTAGATCTGACCTTTAATCTGATACCACTTCATTTCAGCCTAAAGAACTTTAGTTAGCATTTCTTTGTAGTGCTCATCTATAGGGGTGAATTCTCACTGT